TCATTGAATGTCAGGGTGTAGGCCCATGCTTAGGCACGAATGGGCCGGCTTGACAAGACATAGCCACGGCCTTACTAAATACCGACGCGAAAGCGTTGTGTATCGTCGCGTAACTGAGGTTACCGGAGGGGTTAAAACCCAAAAATGGAAAGAAAACAAGCATATCCCCAATCCTCATCTCATCTCTAATTTCTAAAAGGCCAATAACGCTCTTGCAACTCCTCTCGTGTTGCAGAGATCTATGCACGGCACCGATTGCTTAACTTCAGGTGATCCGTCTGCTGGTTAACAGCAAATATTGGCCTTTTTTGCCCCTATTGGTGTTTATGCCTTTAACACTACAATATTTTCTCTCATAAACCTCTTTACTGACAGTTCCTCCTTTAGCTATTTTCACTCATTTCACTGGTAAATCACAAAAGCCGTACAAAATAGGTTCATAGCTACAAAATTATGCTTCTTACTATAACAAAAGGTCGTAAGTCTAATATTGCACATCGTAAAATCTTACTTCCAACTAGACAATATGTCGTAAAATTTGTTAAAGCTTTTCTCCGCAACTTTAAATTTGGCGTCAAATTATTTTCATGTAAAAAAAATATTACTATTTTATTTTACTTTTTTCCAAATAGTAACTGTATCTAAAAAGTACAGAGCCTTTTAACTACTTAACATAATAACTGAACCAACAATACCTAAAGTATTTGAACCTAAACCACTTATGGTATAAAAATCAATCTCAATATCAAAAGAGTAACCTGCGCTCACGCAGCGGTACATGACCAGGAGGCTATACCTAATAAAAAAAAATGTCTGTCAAGCATTGTGCTTTCTGTGATGCAGGATTTTTCTACCAGGTATAGGCATTCAAACTTTACGATATCTACGATGTTTTATGTACTTCGACCGTTGTATTATAATGAATAAAGATTAAAGATAGGTATTATTGTTTTCAGGTCACAATCAACACCAAAACCTATGACCTAGACTTGTGCTTATAACCTACATGCAAACTTAAATAACAAAGTAATATTTTAGCTCCTAACGTAAGTTACGAATCAGCTCATTACTTAAAACATGTTACTTAATTTATGACTTAAGCACAATAGAGGTTAGGGGTTAAAGATGTGGTTACTTAAATTTGTGAAAAGCTGTTATGTCATTTAACGGGCTTAGTGAATAAAATTATCTTTTTTGACCATTTGTACGTATTTATATACCTATAGTCAGAGATGATAAATAAAGTAAATAAGGTAAGATTCATATGAATATAATTACTGGTCATTTTATGACACTGACCTATGCAGTGGAAATGTTTATAAAGGGCTTATGTCGAAATAAGGAAATCAATGTTTGGTTAAAATATAGTCTACAATTGAAAAAACTTTCATTTATAAAGAAGAGTGTCGCATATCGGTGATGTAATGTTGAGTAGGTAAGGTTAGGTTCTTATTTCACTTTTTTAAAAAAGCTTTGACCAATTGCGGGCTCGTGCTTTTACAAAAATTCAAATGACACCCAGAGCTGAAACAACAATTAGTAGATCGCACAAAGAGTTATTCCGTGCGGGAATCTAACCGACGCGACGTCACGTTGCACAGCAGCCAGTTGCCGCGCAGTCAATCCACCACGTCAAGTGCAGTCAAACTATAGGAAATATTTATTAATTCAAATGTTTCCTATAGTAATTAATAATTATTAATTGTCAATATTTATTTAGTTTAGTATACATAGTTTTATTTAGTAGATAGAAAAATGTAAGTGAGTAAATACTATTAAAACATAGACCTCGGCCCATTTCTTGTGATTTTAAAGTCTTATAATATTATAGGCCTTTTATGATACGAAGATACTTATCAAAATGACCTTCGCTAAAATTATGACCTTAACATATGTGACCTCAGAATGTTTACGTGCTATTAAAAAACTTCATATAATTTACGCTAATGGTGTCAAAGTTGTGTGAATTGTAATGTATCTGCAATGGCTGATTATTATTTCTTGTGCAAGTTTGTCTACACAAGTATAGCTACGTACGCTTCTACTTTTACATTTGTGATAAAGGTAAGGCTTTTATAAGGTATTCAATAGTACCTATAAGACTTTGTGTCTATTTTTGAAAGGGTTATGAACAAGAGAGGTTAGTTTAAAAATTTCTTTTTTTTCTAGAAAATACCTTTCAAGGAGAATAAGATTTTTACTGTAATCTCGTAGTCGTCTATCATCTTTATATATAAAAATGGATCGCAAAATGTGTTGGTAAGCGCATAACTCAATAACGTCTGGACAAATTTTGCTACTTCTTTTTATGTTGTGTTTGTGATTGTCTTGTCAGGAGAAGGTAAGGTAAGAAAAATATAAGCAAAATAGAGGGGACAATTAGGCAAAAGTGACACTTTTATAGCGAGATAGTTGGACGCGTGCGAAGTGGGGGCAGGCCGCTAGTTTTTAATATAATTATAGTATAATAAGTTTTTGCTACTTAGAATACATTAGTACATTCATTTTAATACATAAATGCATTTTCAAAGGAATGCAGCAAACATGGCCTATGTAAACAGGTAAACGAATCCCTATTAAATACGAACTAAAATGCAGTAATCGTAAGGATGAAAAATAGATTGCATCATGTAAAAACTAAAGGCCTCATCTATCTGTAAAGCTAACTTAAATTTAAATTATAATTCAATAATAGCCATGAAATTCAATTTCACACCAGGTCATTATAACCACAGGGCAAAAAGTTTAGGAATTATCTGCCAATAAAGTCGTGTATTGGACTCTACTTTAATTATTTATAACGATAATTCGATTAATGTTTGTGCCAAAACTTGTTGCCTCAGGCCTATCGCTGTTAACAGGGTCATAGGTACACCACACACACACACCACACAACTTTTTAATCTATAGTTATTTTTGGGGACCCTTCCGAATAATTTCAATGACAATATCCGTTCACAGTTAATTTGCAATTGGCTGATAAATGCCATAAAGTTGCTGCGTCAACATCATCATCTGCCACTCAACTCAGCTCCATCGAATTCAGGAATATTAAGTTCAGTCGTATCTTTGAACCCAGTCAGTAATCTAGGTTAATATTAATATTTATCAATGAGCATATCACCTAATATACAAGGTCCTGCCATCGATTTCACAAAGGTAAATATCATGGTTGCGGGCGTACAACTAACAACAAAATGTTTAAGGATATTTCGAAAAATTCTCAAATCTCTTATGGTCTCTGTTAAGTTCAAAGATCAAATTCGAGGCCTCGAGATATGGGTTCTTAAATAAAAAGCTGTCAGTTGATACCTACTAAGTACCTACTCAACTATGTGTAAGTGTAACATACCAGGTTAATTCCGTTTAATTTATTACTTGTCTTTTTTAAATGTATCACTTAAACATCTCAGGTACAATTTAATTTGTCTTATACTTGCCAAATCATTGCTTGCAATCCCTTCAATGTCGTATAAATAATTCAATATGTAAATTATACTAAACGATTTAAATTAAACGACTTTGTACTTGAAATAGGTACTTTATTTTTAATAGTGAAACCTTCGGCGTTAATTGTCGGTCGGAATTTTGTTGTGTGATGATTTGAAAGATAAAATAACTGGTGTAAGTGTTAAAAAGGTAAATATTATCAACCAGTCTTTTCAATTGGTTTATAATTAAGAAATTGATTCTCGTCTAGTTTATAATAAGTCTATTGTTGTATATCGGTAAATGCAGCCACGACAAAAGAGAAAACCGTAGCATAAGGAAACGTTTTAAAAAAAATTACATCATAATTGATAATAAGGCGTAAAATAATTATTTTATATTTTATAATAAGCTGAGAATGAATTTCTTACATCAAAATTCGTATTTTTTTAAGCAATTAATTACGTTTATGGAACTAACTACTGAAAATGTTGCGTAAATTAGAAATATGTAAGTGCATTTAATATTTTGAAATAAAACAGAAAAAGAGCGCTATATTATGATTCAATTACGTATGTTACCCAAACATAGTGCACACTGTGTGCACAATGAACGTTTCACAAAGCGGTTGAAATGTCAAATATTCCTACTTAGCATGCTTCGCTGAGCGGAAAAATGTGAGTCAAGATGTTTACTTAAACAATTTTTTTGATCATTTTACGAATTTTCGAACGTTTTATAAAGAATATTTTTTTTGATAAATCATACCATGCTATTGTTTTTCGATAGTAGACGGTTTTCCGAACAGACGATAATATAATTACCTGTAAAAGAAAGAAAATTGAGTTAAAAATAACTAAAAAAAATACATATGTACATAAAAACATTTTGAAAAGATAATTATTACTATAACGCTTTTCGAAGTTGTCTGTGCTAGCGCAATAATGTACCATGCAGGCCCGGCCTGTAGCAGGAGAATGGACGGTGGTTTTTAGTCAGTAAGAGTCTGACACTCCCTCTCGCCTTTCCTTGGACGAAAAAGTCATTTATGATTACCCTCGCGTATCTCAATAACGTCTAAAGCAATTTTGCCAATTTTATTGGGTTAATAACAGGCAGGAGAAGATACTTATGAAAAAAATTGAGAATCTGTATGTTTGACACACGTGTTAAGCAAGTGATGGCCCACTAGTAATCTATAAATTCTTCGCAACCATAAAAATACCCTAAAATCAAACACTAGTCACCTTTGTTATTGTTACTAAAGACCTCTCGTATAAGACCTTACGCCCAAACACCTCAATTAGCACAGAGATTAATTATTAACACGCAAGTATCTTACAACATGGTAATAAAATTGAATGGCACATCTTCATTTCATCAACGGCATCACATGGGGCAATTATGAAACCCTATGTAACCTTTAACATTTGTCAACCAAACGTAAGGAGGTTGTATACGTTACTGTTAAGTTTTGTACCATTTTTTTTTTGTGAGGGGAAAATCATCAAATGACTTCTCCCTCCCAGGGCCGGGCAGGCGGGAGTGTCAGACTCTTACTGACTAAAAACCCCCCTGTTCCTTCTCCTGCTCTGTGCCGAGGTCGCGGTACCTCATTGCGCTTACCCCGCAACCCCGGCTGATTGTACCATGGAGTAGCCAACTAGTTTAACTAACGGCTAAAAACTAGCTGTTTGAACGAACCTAGACAAAGACGAAAAGGCGAGTGGTCAATTATACCGACTTACTGATTGACTACAAACTAATCGCAGTTAATTCTTTTGACCTACTACAATTAAAACATAATTGATAAATATTTAGAAACCAAGTAGGTACTAGAAAAGTTACCTATTAGCCTAAAATATCCTTATAAGTTTAATGTCTACATTCGCAAACTAACATCAAAATTAGTCTAGCAGTTTAGGAGTTAGATTACACACACGCAGGAACTTATATACATATATATCTACAGATAAACGTGTGTCCGGTCGTTCTTAATGGCTTCAGTATTATGTTGATCTTTGTTTTTGTACCAATGCATTGCTCCAGTGACTTCAATATACAAGTAATCAACTTATTAATTGTTTTTTGCTCTTTGTAACAAGTCCAATGGCATATGATGAGCTATTGAGAGGTTTTTAGACCTGTTATAAACGCTCTAAGTGTAATATAATAGTTCTGTGTGTTGATACGTGGAACAATATTTTCTCTAACGTGAGATTCAGAGAAATATGTTTATAGTATTATTGTTTTTGTTCTCTGACCAACTTTTGTGGTGGTAATTTATTATTGATTCGAAATATAAAATTTTCAAAGATAAAACCTTTTAACACAGTACATGTTTTCGTGCTATCAATAGATGACAATATAGACGAATTCGTATGGGTTTTTTATGTGATACGGCAAACAAGTTTATGCATAGCCTTATAGAAAGCAATCGGTGCCCCCTTAAACACCCGTCACACTGGAGCAGTTGCAAGTGCGTTGCCGCCCTTTTGGGGATAGTGGATTTTTGGAGTGGAGTGATTTTCTGCGAGGCCGTGGCAACACTCCGCCGGTAGAACCTCCCCATTCATGCCAAAGCGTGGCTCTGCCACACTTATTATTACACTCTTAATATGTTAGTAGTTCAAGTACGCGTGTATTACACAGCAAAGTGACGCCTAATATTTTACAAAAGAAAGCACTGATCACCAATCGCCCACCGTTACGTTTATAGACACAATAAAATTTTAATATAAACCGCAAAATGTAAGGCGATCTTAAATCTCTAATAACAACACCAACAGTTTCGTTATTTATACCGAAATAGAAAGCACCATTACTCGTCAGTTCTAATTTTCAGCCATTACTTTCGACTGCTATTAATCAAGTACCAACTTGGTAAACTTACTTTCATAGTCACATACAAGACATACCACTCATGAATAAACACTTTTACTTATTTATCTAAGCTTTTAACCAAATGTGCAATAGTTGGTTTAGCAAACAAAAGATGACTGCATGGTCAAGAGTTCACTCTCTCCGCACTCAACCGGACTTTTCACCTTTGCGGTCTGAAATTAGGGTTGTCAAAACAGAAGAAACAGAGAGAATATTCAATTATCACTAAGCTCTATAAGCAGAACTACTCTTTAAAGGGTTTTATCTGTCTAAGGTCATGCTTTAACTATTTTTCTATATATGTGCATATCTACATTTTATCAAAAAATTGTGTCATTATCATGCAATTTTTGCTTGTGATCTTTATGGTTTATTAGTTAAAGAGCCAACCTACTGAACACCTAAACCAAAGTCAATCTTCGACTTAGAAGAAGAAAAACAGAATGAGGAGCACGAGCAGGCCTTCAGACTCATTATTTCTAAATTAAGAATAACTATTTAATACTTATCAACAAATTACAAAATGTTTCGTCAACCCTACTCATTACGCACACACAAATTTCACCGCCACACATCTACTTAAGTATAAACACTTCGATTTGTATGCAGATTCGTAAGGCGAACAGAATTCGGACGTCTGAGTCGTGCGCCTGCGCCGGCGGTGAAAGTGAGCGAGGATGAACGAAATATGGATGAGACATTATTGATATATTGATAGGTCACGCCGTGTGGTATTAATGAACGTTTTACAGCTCTTTCTTTATTGATAGTGCAATAAATTTTTATGCTTTAAATTCAACGTCATATTTATTGCAGATAAAATGTATTTAATATTAATTATTTTAATAATTACAAAATTTGCTTTGGTTATTTTTTATATTTTGATAGTATCGAAATTGCATAAAAATAATTTGATAATAAAACAATGATCTCTGCCTACAAAACGGACATTACGTGGATATTAATTCCAATAACACTACCACTAATTACTGTTTTTGTTCAAAAAAAAAAAACAATAATTATGTCCAAGAAACCTTGTATAAGTACATATTATTGATAATCACAGGACGCGTATAGCTCATTGCATTTTAATTGCTTAATTTCGCCTCATCCAAAACCCATCACCTTTCACAACTCCATGACATGATGACATTGACCCGGTCAAGGCTGACTAACAGTAAAAAGCTAGTAACGATTCATAATATGTTTAAGTTATTTTATATTTTCTAATCAAATTTTACTATTTTGGGTTTTTCAGGATACTGAAAAGTTGTCTCTGAATACTTACAAGCACAATATTAAAAAGAAAAAAAACATTATTAAATTTCAGTGCGGCATAATGTACTTCTAGAAAAAGATGCGTAACTTTTGATTGATAGATTTTGATATCTTAATTCGTCTATGTAGACGTTATTATTTAGTGGGTAGGTACCTAAGACACGTACTTTTGGAACAGAATCAAAAGTTGTCGATATTATCCTAGTGTTCGAAAGGACAATAAAAACACGTGATTAATTAATTAATTAATCAAAACAAAACCGGACACGGTGTAACCAATTTCGGAACCAATCAAATTAGGTATATTATAGTCGTATATTCAATGTCATTTATATCTTATTTTTAGATATTTGAATCAAATTTCGAAATTTCTTATTTGAATTAAATATGTATTTGGGTTATGTGCTGCTAAGGTTTATAATATTAATAATGTGGTGCCTTAAATGGTCAAGTAATGTATTCTATGCTTTTGTTTAGGTGGTCCTTGGTCTGAAACGCGTCTTCAAAGTTGAGATCTTTGTTCTTGACATATTTATAGCATCTAATATCTATTCTAATATTATAATGAGGTAAAATTTGTAAGTTAGTGAGTTTGTATGTAGGGAGTAATCTTTGGGACCGCTGGTCCGATTGTCAAAATTCATCACTTCACTGATAGATAGCTACAATGTTCTTGAGTGCTATAAAACATCACGCTACGATCAAATGGAACCGAGCAGCGGGTGAAACCTGTGAGAGTGGCGAGTAGTTAAATGCTTAGATAGTTGTTTTTTTATTCAAAATCAGAATGAAGTTGTATTTGGATCCGACACTGAAAATATTTACAACAGTACGATAAATTAAACGCTATATCAATAAAGCAAAAAGTTAATGATAAAATCGAAATCGAAAATTGTGCAAAACGATTTACCTTTACCTCTCAAGACCTACAAAATAGCCACTTCTTGCCTGCTACCGTACTAAAACCTATCTTACCTTATGGTTCACCTTAAATCCATCATCCATCAAGTCAATATTTCATCATTAAGGTTTACTAACATTGTGTAAAGCTAATATCATATTAGTACGTGTGCACCATTCACTCGATCGAACTTCAGTTTCAAGTGATTTGCCACGGATAAATGACCTTAACTTACTATACTTGAACATAACTTAAGTTGGAAGAGGCTGGGAAACTTTTTTGGCAAGTCATTAGACAGTCGTAGGTGTTTAGCTTTTTTGGAATGCTTTATAAAAATGCTGAGTGTGTCCATACAATTTAGATGTTCTATAGATTAAGGCCATGGCTTTCTTTAAAAACGGAGCTGACGTACAGTTTCCATAAGATTTTCGAGCCATGATTAGTCAGCATAAAATAAACTATTGCAAATAATGTAACTTCAGGACTATTTCCAACTTATAACTGTCTCTAAAAAGATTATGTTAACAGTATATCCATTATAACAGTTGAGAGGGATACTAAGAAATTCCTTCTGCTGACAAGGACCGTGGAGACCTAATTGAAACATACAAAATTTTGACTGGACATTACAATCTAAAGGACTTCGATCAGCTGTTCACACGCAACGAAAACACCCACCTTAGAGGCCATCACTTTAAACTTAGCACTAACAGATCACCATAACAATCCTCACAGACACTTTCTCAGTAATAGAGTAGTTGCAGCGTGGAACAAGCTCCCGGAAAATGTGGTTTCAGCCTTAAATTTGAACCAATTTAAAAATCGACTGGATAAATATTTACTCAACTGCAAGAAATGAACTAGTGGAAATTACCAGGATGCGGGCATTTTCAGTTGTTTCAACTGCCTGCCTGTCTACAAATAATAACATATAACAAATAACAAATAACAGACAAAGATCAAGACACCATCTGAATGGCTCATTGTGCAGAATCTCCATTAATTTTTTTTTTAATATTATCAATTCCTACTAACTTCTAATTACTTGTAACTCTAAAAAGATGTAATTGATCATGACAAAATACGTTGGAACACATTCGGTTGCATTATACACTGATCGCAATCTATGGATGGATGATTGCAAAATAATTTTCATATGCATAGGCTGATACTTTGTCAGTTATACTAGCTGGCTATCAATCAATCATTGCTAATATTGGTCAACTGAGCCGAGGCCTATGTATATCCGAAGCCATCTTGAGTTTAGACATAGCATAATGGGTACTAGGACATTAGTGTCCACATGTTAAGTATTCTTATTGTAATGAGGACCTACAAACAGGTTTTGAATTATCTAAATTTCACTATCGGTTTACAGCAGCTTTGCGCTCGCCCTCATCCTCGCTCGATATGGGAGTCATTTAGATATAATTATCAGCCTATAAGTCCCGAATGATGTAAAGGTTTTTACGCGGAGAAGGTTTGACAGTGGATCGCCACGTTTGTTCAAAACTGTATAGCGATTTCAAACTTATTACTAGACTTTATAAAGTTT